CGAGGAAAAAGACTGCCCTATAACAAACAGTGATTCTTAAAGGAAATAAAAACTTGTCCAAAGGTCAGTTTTCAACGCTTGTCAAGAATAACGCCAGAGGCACTAAAAGGACTCAGTAGTTTCTGTCCCTTGTCTTCTGTGTTGAACACAAGTGATCCTGGCCAGACCACTTGGGTACACACATTTAGGGAGTATGTGGGAGTATGTGGGTGCAAACATGGAAGTGACTAAAACCTGAGAGAATGAGTGTGAGTAGGTAAAATCAGTTTACTTACAAATTTTGAAGACAAATATCACCTTCCCCAAGATCTCCATGAGTTTTATTACACTAATTTTTCCACGCAACTTATTTATGTAGCTCTTTAAAAGAAAATGCCAGTTTATTTGAGCTGCAGAATTTGCAAGTAGATCTTGTGTTAGCATGCAGCGGCTCACAGATCTATTTATCTTTGAGATAGAACAATAGGAGAAAAGAAGACCTTAAATGCAAAATTAAAGAAGAAGCAAGTATGAACCACTTTTGGAAAGGAAAACAAACCAAAAACCTCTACCATAATTAGACATATTCTTGTAAGCCTTTGATAGTTTCAGAACAGCTGTGGGGGAAACTAGGTCTTTTTGATGGGTCAGTGTGTGGTACAACAGTCCCTTCAAGTTTATAATGTCTCTTTTTAAGTTCTGAACTTTTGTTTGTGTTTTAAAGTATATTTTTTGCAGTAAAAGGAGCACTGAAACAGGACACACTTCAAATTCTTCTGTGGATTTAAATTTATTACATGTAATATATCAACTTTGATTCTAAAAGATGTAGACATAAAACAATAGACAAAACATCTGCCACTGGAATTACACCACTTCAGAAGTGAAATGTGGCAACTGATGACTTCCAGCCTTGCTGTTTATCTCTTCAAATCTATTTATTTTCTGTATTTTATTACTTTGCATCGATTATGTGGGTTCATAATCCTCATGTAGGTTGCTCTTACCTACATTTCTATACTCTTCCACCCCTACTGACTCCCAGCCCACAGACACTCTTTCATCCTACTTTATTTTCAGAGCTCAGCATCCTGAGCCTTTTCTAATCTTAAAAGCCTCTTCATTTGTCTCACTTGCTTTTCAGCCAGTGGTGAGAGATACGTATCTAAAGAGCCCATCCTAAAAGAAGCACCTGTGGTCAGTGGCTGGAGTTGCTTTTCAGAGAATTTGTCTCATTCTCTGCTGACTGTGAAAGAACATAGCATAGAGCAGATGCCTAGCTTATGGATGACTAAAGTTACGAGCTGACTTTTACCAATTGTATTTTATCGATGATTGATACGTTCAGGTTTCTGTGGTCTTGACTTTTGTAACTTCTCAGTCTGAAAGTGCTTCTTAATTGGCCATTCACATTAAGCAGTTTCATTTGTAAATGTAGTCCCATTGGATAAGTATAGGACGGGGAAAAATAGATACTCCATGCAATCTTAGGAAAAATATTATTCTGCTTACAGCACGTTCTGTGGCTAATATTCTGCACTGGTATTCTCTAAATCTCTTGATTGATTCCAAAGACAGAGTAGGGTAACTATTAACCACATAGTTAGGTGGTTGAAGGTAGGTGGTGTGATTCTCTTTCAGTGTTTTCTGGCTTGGAAGGCTGATTATGATTTGAAGACTTGCAACTATTGGCAAAGAGAAACATGCTTTACTGTATTTCTCTACAATATTATTCCTGCTTTGTGATTTTTCATAAAGAATATTAGAGTAGCAAAGGAAATACAACCCCACTCCCACTCCCAAACCCCCCCAAAACCCTATGGAGAATAATACCATTAAGTGATATAGAATCATTTCTGGTTCAATTTTTTAGTAAAGTGCATGTTGCCAAAGCCAAACAAACATCTGGAAGACAAAGGTCCGTTCTGTGCAGTATATAGTCCAAGTAACATCTTTGTCTTGTTACAATCTTGCGTGATTTATCAAATATGTAAAAGATAGAAAGCTGCATGGATTATTTGACTGATAATGGGAAGCAGACTTTTACCTTTAAGTTACTGGTTCAAGTCCAACCTGTGTACTGCAAGCAAATACTGCTCATGCTCAGGGCCTGATACGTAATACACATGTATCAGTGAACTCCTACTCTGTTACCAGTGTAAAAATGGCAACAGCATTAAATTCGCAGTAATAACTGCTATTTTTTTATCACAGTCACAACTGAATAGATAATGCTAACTAACTGCTTGGAACAGTTTCTCTAGAACCCAGATTTATCACTTTGGCAAGGAAACTAAGGGGAGGCTTTCAACTGCATATCTCCAAATCTAGATAACATCCTGTAATAAAAGTGAGATAACAGTCTAGGAGCAGAATTACTAGAAATTGATTCCTCTGCTTTGGTATCCAACAGCTACAGTCATTAATCAACTAAGAACACCTGAGAAGGCATAAAGCAAATCACAGACCCCAAGCTAGTAAGTTCCATAAAGTATGCCCTCAAATATTCAGATAAGTGGCAGTCAGCATAGAAGACCCAAATCCCATGACAAGTGAAAGGAACGTTTTCTTAGATCTGAAGCCTGTTTACAAACTGTATCTTGAAAAAGCTTTTCTCCAGAATAATATTTTCAGCAGAACTGCCACAAAAGATGCATACAAAGCCATTAATAGGTCTCAAAACCTCTGGATTTTGTTCCAAAGTTCAGGACAGAGACTCTTATCTGATTTCCACAAAACTGGTGAAGAATTAAACCGCATGTGCAAGCACTTTAGTGCAGTACTACCCTAGGTCAATAAAAGGCTGGAATGCATCTCTCCCTCTAGGCTTCCTCCATTCGGAGAACATCTGTCCCATTTCCTTTGTTCCCAAAGTCTTCTTTTGATTTGTCCCCAAGTCCATTCCTGGTTAAGCTGTCTTACTGTCAGTGCTGCAGATGGGAACATCATGTATTTGTCTGCACAAAGCAACAAGGTACATCCTCACTGTTACTTACACCAACAGGTTACTCAGTCACAGTTCAGCTGAAGTTCATTTTGCTCACTTGGGCACCATGCGTGTTGCAAAGTTGTGATCCTACTAACTGTATCAGGGCAGTTTTATCCATAAACCCTACTTAGTAATAGTATCTATGGCTTATTGGAATGCAACTAAAGAATATACAGAGAACCTGAACGGTGTTTAGTTGAAATCTCAGTCTGTGAGGTTCAGAGTTTTTCCTGGTTTCTCATTGCTTCCATATTCTCTGTCTTCAGTGAAACTAATTGATGCAAAATATTTGACCTTACAACCACTATATAACTTCAACCAAATTATTTCTGTGCAAAAGGTAGATTTTAGATGTTTATTTAGATGTTCTCAGGCAGTCCAGGATCATAATGTTTAATACTGCTAGTAACGATATATGGCTACACTGCAAGATCTAGAGTGTCTATTATGAAGTGTAAAGTGTTTTCTTCAAAAATTGTGGTAAATATATATACATATATGAATGTATATAGATATTTCACATAAATATATTTAAAATCTATCCTGCCTAGGAATAATAAGACAAAAATAACACTACTTGCTGAATATTACATAGCTAAGCTGAGAGATTTGAATAGGGATCAGAATATAGCAAAAGCTTTGCTCATGCTTGGGACCCAGATCTTGGGTCCCAAGGGCGTTAGTCCCTTTAGCTTGTATAGTCTACATAGAAAGCCTAATTTAAAAAATCCTAACCACCTGTCCAGTCTGGGTGCCATCTGTCTTTTACAACTAGAATTTATGAGCACTAGTGTGAGTGATTTCAACATTCGGTTCTCCATGGTGACAGCAAAGCCAGCAGTAGATGGTGGCTTGTCTCAAAAAATGAAAGGTTTGATCAGGTGAAAAACTCAGGATTCAATAGTTTTATGGTGGTCTTGTGCTAGAAGTGGAGGAAAATCTTTACTAAAGCATAATTTTAAGTTTCTGTGCCTTCGCACTTGGGATAAAGATACTGTCACAAAATTCCTACTTTTGATCATGCCTTAGATACAAGCTAAGGAGTGTTGACTGCAGCACAGGGGTGCAGCACCCACAGAGGTGGATGTATTGCCTAACTTTTAAGCAGTACCTCAGATCTGCAACTCATTGTCAGGGATTTTAATCTTGATTAAGAAAAATCCTATAAAATTTAGCAGTTCCTTTCATGAAACTCAAAATCCTATTTTTTATTCTCAACTTAATTAGTGAAACCAGTGAATTTTATTGTGTTAACTTTAATTCTAAAGATGTATTCAGTTGATTTTGCTATATGAGAACTTCAGGATAAAAATGAAGTTGTAGCAATTTTCTTGCATCATATCATCCCTCATAAAAAGAGTATTGCAGATTTGCCAGACTTGTTGCAGAAGGGCCTACATTTGGAAAGAGGCAGAGTGCTTTACTCTCATCACCCAGACACTGACAGTCCACTCTAGTTGTGTGTCCTTTGCAAGTCACTTTATCACTGTATCTTGGTTTCCCCATGTGTGATAACGTTGTTTGTCTGCCCCGGGGTCCCATAATTTTTAAAGTATGTTAGCATTCTTAAAACAGAGCCTGAGCAGCTCCTTTGGATTTGGATTTATGCTGGTACAATTTAAAACTTTATGTTCAAATGACTTTCATCTTTTTGATGCTTCACAACGAGTTTTCATTTGTCGCACAGAATATATCAATTTTTATCACAAATCTAATTTAATTTTAAATAAATATGGAAAAAGCATTTTGTTAGTATATGTTCTTGCTAATAAAGTATATGCAGTGTGCATGCATCTGTGCATACAAAAAAAACGTTTAAAACACTGAGATAAAAGCGAATGAGCATGTTGAAGTTTCATGAATTCTTTACACACCATAGGAATTCATTGTAGCTGCCAGATAAAACACAGCTCAAGCACTAAACCTCAGAACATATATGACCTCTAGTGGGAGAATCTGAATAACTGGAAGAGAAACAGCTGCCAGTGGAAGTAAACAGTAATATTTCTTGTTTCCTCTTGATTTTCCCTAGACAGGGATTGGGACAGCACTACCTTCTATAATTCAAGAGAGTTACTCTTCTGCACCATTGACAGAAGAACCTGATGAGGAAGCATCAACTCCAAAATTAATTGATGGATCTTCAGCACAGGGGTCTGGAGTTCTTGGACCCCAAACTCAAGACGGTTAGTAGGAAAGAGCAATGAGTTTCACGTGTGTAGCTTTGCTTTGAGTGAGCCCATTTTGCTTGCTTATGAACATCTGCCTCTCTTACTGAAGAGGAGGTATACATTTCTGTACCCCTCTTACTGTAGGGATGCTCTAAAGTCACATAGGTGACTAGTCAAAACGTTTCCACACAACTTCACTAAGAAAATGACAGTGCATCAATGAAGATTTTTTCAAATAATATTCTATTAACACGTAAACGCTTACAACTTAAAAATTTGCTAATTGTTGGCAAATGCTACCAGTACTTTTTAATTGACTTAGATTTCAGTATCATTACCATCTTTATTTTATAATGATTTGTTACATGATTTTTATAAATGTGTTCATACAAAACATAAATAAAATGTTGAACAATTTTTGACCACGAAAACTGAAAACTATGAAACTTAAGGAAAGGGAACTATTTAGAAATTTTTGGTGAAGCTGATTTTCTGTTCTTCTGACAAGCTATAGTAAAGTAAGAACTTTCTACATCTCACAGGGGAATTAAAGTTCGAAAACACAATCTTCCCCTCTCCCACACAAACTTTGTGATGTTAATAATTGGCATTTGTTAGAAGCTACTCTAAACTCTTGCAGTGGAAGATTACTAGAGTTATACGCTGCTGTGATGGTTCTTTGTGTTGTGTGGTTAGCAACAGACAACAACAGGAAAAGCTTACTTTTTACTATGCTTAACACTATAACTGAGTGCCGTAGAAGACACATGAAATAGAGGGGGTGAAGAGTTCATGCTTCCAAAATTGTGTGTTCAGTGAAGACAAATTAATCATTCCTAGTCTTGTTTTTGTACATATTACTAGTGAGCCCTGACCAGGCAAAAAAAAATACACTGATGTCAAAACAAATAAAAATGGAAATGAGAATTTCCCAGGAGAGCTCTGAAAAAACCCACACAATTTCCTTCAATTTTCAAAGCTGCAGGATGTTACAAAACATTTCATGTAAATATTACATATTATGAATTCTGTATCTGTCAACATTTTTGAGCACTGAATGCAAATCAACCAGTGCATCAACTAAAGATATGCATGGGAGGCTCAAGGCTGTAATATATCAAATCAGATTTTTTTGTGTCTTTATTTTGTTTCAGCAACTTATTTTCCTGTCAGATGTTGCTGTTCTTGGCTTGGTAGTGGATAAAAGACTACAAGGCTGAGGAACATCAAGCCAAATTCATTTCTGTTGTTGATATCTTTTTGAACCTTCCCATAGCTCTATCATTTTTCAGACTACACCAGCCATAGGTGACAAATACCACTCCTCCAAGATCAAAAATAGCGCAGAAGGGGAAACTCTTTTCATATGCTATGTTGCAATATTTGGAAAAAAAATGTCAGACGTCCTAAACTTTACATTCATTTAGGCCTAGATTTGCTGGAATGGTTCATGGTGTCACAACTTATTTTTTCCCTGTGTCAGGCTTGCTCCCTGTAGCTCATTTAAACTGTCCTGAGGGGGAATTTAGGGAAAGTATAAAAAGAGTTTCATCTCTCCCAAAATGTTATTCCTGGATGTCCAAGTAGAGATTCTCAAACAAAAGAGTACTCCAGTCACTGATTCTTTATCTTGCCTGAAAAGATGCCACATATATAGCCCACCTTCAGTTAGTTACTGCTGCTTGTTGGTAACTGATACAGATTAAGAAGGCAAATCTTCCATGTAACCACAACTGATCTGGAGAAAAAAACTCCTTTGCAAGAAAAACATTCTCATGCTCGTTAATTATGCTACTATTTTATAAAGTAACCAGAACAAACAATCAACCATCTGCTACAAGGAGGAAGAAAACATGCAACAGGGAAGTATTTCTATGGGATTAAAAGATGAGAAACAGATATACTGATTTATACCCATGATCAAAGAAAAGATGTATCAAAAATTCAACACACATAGCAACTAACAACTTTTCCTACTGAAATTACATTCAGACAAACCAGTCAGTGTCACAATTGTCACCAAATTTGAACAGTATCATCAAAATAAACTCTCAATTCATGGGATTCACGCCCTTTTATGACTGAGATGAAATGGCTTTATTTTCATATTCATGAATTTCTGGTGGTAACCAAATGTTGTGTTAACATGGTGTCCAAGTTATCGTAACTGAGTGATAGAGAAATTTTTAATGATTCTGAATTTCTGAATCAGAAAAGGTAATTAAACAACATGCAAAGGAAATTGAGGTTCTTCTCCATATCTCTGTAGGAAAATATTAATCTCCTTACAAATTATTCAGAAGTACTATTTACAGAACCAAACTTGGGCAATCATAACAAGTTTCAATCATTAGCTGTTCTGTCTCCATCTAGATGGAACTGCACACTTGCCGGCTTAGGGGAAAACTGATCTTTGGTTAGCTGCTGTCACCTAATATGCTATTGTTATAGTCTGAGAAACGCTATATCAAAGCAAGTTAAATGACCTTCTAACAGGCATATGGAGAAAAAAAACCTATTTTTAAGCAGAATGTAATCACTTTGTTGTTGCAATTATATGCTGTGGTGATCAAAACAGAACGGGAATGAATTTTATCATTGACAAAATCTTGTCATTATGTGCTTAGGTGAGCATTTCATTGTAGTAATTTACACCGATCTTTGCAATTTTTTTTTGTAACAAACTGTTTTCTTTTAAATTCTTTGATAGGCCTTCCCACCTGCCTTTTGTGTACATGTCTAGGGACCACAGTCTACTGTGATGATCATGAGCTTGATGCTGTTCCACCGTTGCCTGAGAAAACAATGTATTTCTACTCACGCTACAACAGAATCAGGAAGATCAACAGAAATGACTTTGCTAACTTAAGTATGGCTAGAAGTGTTGTTGCAATTGCTATAATTTCTATTTCTGGCTCATATTCATCTAAGACATAGTGATTCACTTTATGTAATATTTGATGATGGTTGGAATATACACATAAATGCACATATGGAAAAGTGGTTTGCTACTTTTGAATGTAATGTAGGTTCTATGTCAAATTTTCAAATTTTGGAATTATTAGAAATAACAACTTTCATCTATCTTTTTGCTGTTACTTGTAATCAGCTTTGGAAAGGTAGAAAAAAACCCAAGCTTCATGGAACATTTCTAGCGTATTAGAAAGTACTGTCTTCCTAAAAATAAAAAGTTCTCAGGTAGACATACTTTCAAATATTTGCAAAGTATATGTGTGAAAGGAATTTTACCTTTAAATTTTACCTTTAAAATATATGTTAATTGGTTTATTCCAGAATTATCTAGTAAAATCTTCAGTAAATGAATACTGCTAATCCAAAGCCATTTGTGGCCTAAATCTGGCCAAAATTGGTGGTTTAGGTAGCTTATGTTTTCACATTTCCTACTTGAGATTCTTAAAGATACCTGATTTTTCAGGAAGTATTAAGCCTACTCCATTTAGGGATAGGGACTGCCATACACTCACCAGCCTGAATATCAAACCACATTCTTTGGGTTTTGTTTTAGACCTAACTTTGTTTAAATAACGCTTATTGATTTCATGAGGAAAAATGTGGAATCAGTGCCAAAACGGTTACTACCATAATTCAGAGGAATACAAAGATCCTTTTATGAAAGAAAAATATAAGGGTTCGGCTTGCTCAAACCAAGATGAAGATTGGGAAGGAATACAATTGGTGTAGAAAAGAACCCAGGGGGAATAAATACTAAGAGAGAAAATTTATTTAGGCCAAAATATACTGCTAGCATAAGAATAAAATAATAGAATAAAATAAAATAACCATGAAAAACATTCTGGGTAGAAAATAGAAGTAAGCTAGAGAATAATACGCTTAAAATTAATGCATATTAATGCACTGATATTTAGACATTGTTCTCTTTTGCCAAAAATAAGATTAAATTTATTTTTTTGACTGGAAAAAGTATTTCAATCTATTTTAGAAAAAAGTCAATATATCAAATTTCTTACATATATGAAAATGTTGAATATAAAGAAACATGTGGAACAAGGTGGTAGAGAATATGTTTATTTCCCTTTAAATGTTATTTTTCCAAAAGATAACCATTTAAAATAATATTCACAGAACATGCAGATATTTTAAAACTATTAACTTTAAAATCTTTCACTGAAAGATGTATGAAGAATCACACAGGTGATTCTAGACAGGATGAGAACGAGATGTTGGTCCCCTTCCTTAGAACTGTTCAAATATGGATTATTGCATTATATACAGAGAGTGAGTGCTGTCACATAGTAGGGTCAGGAATGGATCCGATTCAAGACATTTCACCTGTAATGTAAATAACCCATTCGCCTTTTTCTTTTTTAAAATTTTCTGGAAATACATTCTTACATGCTTTTTGCCTCTTATTTCTGTGCCAGACAACTTAAAGACGATTGATTTGACTGCAAACTTTATATCAGAGATCCATGAAGATGCCTTCCGGAGATTGCCCCAACTTGAGGAGCTGGTGCTCCGGGACAATAGGATAAGACAACTCCCTGAGTTACCATCTACCTTAACATTCATTGATGTTAGTAAGAACAGACTTGGTCGCAAAGGAATACGTAATGAGGCATTTAAAGTAAGTGTGGGTTTGATGGGAAAATCTTTTCTTCCTCTCTCCAAAGGATGTGGTCGGAAGATTAAGATTATAGGCACCGTGACTAAGCTGGCTGCTGGTTAATCTATAAAGATGGAGCAAGATGTATGAGCACTATCAGCTGGACACGGGACCCCTTTTTATTCTTCTTTACAAAGATCCACACAGGACATGTGATGGCATACTATGTTTGTATCTATGAACCAGCTACCCACGTGACTAGCAAGACTCCAGAAAGCTGCTTGATGTTCCCTTACAAGTAGGCAGGAGGGAAGGGCAAAGCTAGGGATGCTGCTGCTTCAAACTTACTCTGCCATGTGTCTTGTTATAGTATGCATTAAATGTATATATGTTCTTTCCACGTTGAAAAGCAGAGAAATTGGAACCTCTGAGCGATCGCCCTTCCTCAAGAATTTTGGTGGATAGAAGCAGCCATGTACTGCTCCTAATTGCATGTGAAATCTGAATTCATTCATCTCTGAATTCCTCCCTTGGAAGACAGGTTCTTAGTGATGTAACCAACTGCAGTTGCTGAATCAGATATTTTCTCCTAGCGCAACATAAGGCAGGTGTTGGGAATAGAAATGATGGGCAAAAATCAGTCCCCCAAATTGAGACTCTGGCCGAGAACGCTTTCCTTCTGCACTCACCTGATTTTAGCCACGAGGAGTCTCAGCCTTTATCTTCCATATTTGCCCTGATATCTCAGAGTTCTGTCAGTAGAAATTAAATTAGGACACTGCACTCAAAGAAGTAGTTAGGTACCATGGTAACTTTTGTGTGTAAAAAGGGGGCAAGATAAGAGTATTCTACTGAGCCTTATTGACCTCGCCAAATTCATATCTTACTGTTGTTATAACTACTGGATGAAGCTGCTTATTCCACTAAATCAAGGGAGAAAATGATTTAGCTTTTCAAATGGAATGGGAAATTTATTTTTAGCTCAGGCATTTCTTATGCAGTTGTAATTTGCTTCAACACCAATACACTTCTGCAAAATTGAGTAAGCTTTTCACAAAAGCAAGAAAACAGACAGAATAGGAAGCCTTTATGCATAATGACTGGGAGAGGCAGTATTTTCATGTTAGAACAACATGAAATTACATCTCTAATTATTAAGTCTTGAGACATTTCAAATAAATTATTTCCTTCATTTTAATCCAAACACCTAATCTTTAATAGCAACACTTCTCAGCCTGTGCAAATGACAGTTCATGACTGTCTTTGAATTTCTGCTTTTTTCAACCATATCATGCTGACACAAAATGCATTAGTATCCAGCAGTGCTCATTGCAGTGATAAATTTCAAACTTGCTAGAGATTTTCAAGAATGTCTGTCATTTTCCCCTGACTTTCTCCTTCATCCTCTAGGGTCTGCATGAACTGCAGCATCTTTATATCACTGACAATAACTTGGACCACATTCCATTGCCACTCCCTGAAAGCCTCCAATCTCTTCATCTTCAGGTAGGCTACAAAAATAACGGCTCTATATATCGTGTTCAAATAGTAAGTAAAACTGGAAAGGATAACTATTGACTTGTTTTGTTTCTTCTGTTTATCCAAAAATGTACTTACATGACTAAACAAACTATTTGAAACATACAATTAACTAGTGAATGCAGTATTTGAAAGAAGTAAAATTTAGCTCAGCTAAGCTTTAATTATTAGAACTTGTAATACAGTATTTTTCAAACATAAAATTCTAGATTTATTGTTAGTACAGGTTAAAGTTAGATTCACAGCTATCAAGAGCACCAGCAGTCCAAGAGACTTCAAAGACAGAAATCCCTCACACTGCTCATACAAATCTTCTAACAGGAATACTTTTAGATACTCATAGAAAGTTGCTTTATATATTGGTTGTATCTATACCCAGTGCATTTCATTCCCTTAATAAAGGTAATTTCCAGTTGCTAACATTTTTTCAGCCAAACATTTCCATTTGACTATGTTGGAACATTCCACCCATCATCTTTCTGTAATCCTTTATTTTTCATATTTGCTTTTACCTAAACTTTTGTTTCTGAATCCTTCCTTTTAACCTTTCCTATGTCTGCTTCTTTCCCTTTATCTCCTCTTGTACCAATGCCCAGTTTTGATTGTCAGAAGATGTTTATTTATTAGATAATACAGAAAAAAAACTTTGAATAAATAAACTGGTGTAACATACATAATTTGACATCTATCAATAAATAAATCTATAGAAACACTCTGCTTACTATTTTTTTTCACTTGCCCATGCCTGTAAGTTAATATTCAGTGCTATGTGCTACAGACAAAAGCTAGTGAGCTGGGCACAAATTTCTGACTATCAAAGGAATGGAAAAGGGATGAATTTTCAGACAGTCCTCATTTTAGGAGATGACCTTTTTAGGCTTAATTTTCATACAATATTGTATTCTAGCAGTTCATTGTTGAAAACAGTTCACTTCAAGAACAAAAGCTCAATGAAGATAAGGTATATAAGAGGAATTTAAATCAAAGGAATAAAACCTAAAGCATTCAATTTTCCCTGTATATATTCAATGTGGGCTAAACTAATGTGAGAGGGCCTGCGGGAAAGAAATTTGTCACAGATCAAATTGCAGATTTGTGTCTTTGCAGGTTGAGGCGTATCAAACTGTCAGCATGATAATTATGGTTCTGTGATTTTTGGACCAGCCTGCGCTGGTTCCAATTTGCATTGATAAGGCTCTTGAATATGATCCCTCAAATGAAAATGCTCTATTCTTCCATCAGGCCCCTCCTGCAAAGCCTGTCTCTGCTACATGGTGTGAGTTACTCAGTTCTGAAGTTTTGCACTGGTCAAGAAATTTTCCTACTTCTTGTGAGATTTCTTTATTGATGACTTGTAGCGACAATTGGGTCTCCTGGGTGCAAACAAGTGTCTTTCTAGGCACTGAAAATACATCCATAAATTGTTCTTCAAAGAGTAAAAAATTGCTTTCAGGCAACTATTCTGATAGTTTGTTTTTATTTTTTAGAACAACAACATTCAAGAGATGCACGAAGACACTTTCTGCAAAATGAAAGATTTTACTTATGTCCGTAGGGCTCTTGAAGACATCAGACTGGATGGTAATCCCATCAATCTGAGCAGAACACCTTATGCATATATGTGTTTACCCCGTTTGCCAGTTGGTAACCTCATGTAAGCTTTGACAGAAGCCAATACTGTCATATGCTATAAGAATCTTTAAAGACAAATTATTAACTCACTGCTACACTACGTAAGATGCGTTTTTTCAAATCTCATTTATTTGGTAAATGTTTCTATTAATAATGAAGTTAATTGCTGAGAATATGAAATGCTAAAAGACAACTCTATTATCCACTCAACTGTAAGTTGTATAATAATATCAAGAAAAATATTTTCCCACAAAAACTGTACTGAAGGCAATAAAAGATCAATGTAAATGCATTGATCTGAATTATACAGCTCTAATGTATGAATTCTAAAGTAAAGTAATTTTATTTGTCAAAATATAACTATAACATAGTAAATAAAGAAATAAAATATGTGTACACAATTGAATCTTTAACTCCTTTTCATTTAATTAATTTTTTTTTCTCAGAGACACATCCATTTTTCTACTTCTTTCCTTAAACATCCTTTCATTTTGGAAAAGTACTAGCAGTATTCCAAAACACGTGTTTTCTTTAGCAAACAGAATCTTTCCTTGAATGAATAATGAAATATAGAGATTAAACTTGTATCAAATTACCTCCCAAAAAGTACACAAATTATTTATTTATACTTTTGCAGTAATAATTGGTCTTTGTAATGCTGATGAGGCCCAAAGCTGTCTTCTGTATCTTTGATAAACTTGCCTGCCAGATTACACAGCAAATAAAAACCTCATGAAAAATAGCCTATTTGAAAAATACTGAACTATGTTCTGCATAGGAAGTGGAAAAAACTCCCCTTGATATATTTTCACATTCACACAAAATACTGCAGTTCAATATACTGAGAACCAGAATTCAGAGACCCAAATAGCAAATATCCTTGTGGAACCATGGCTTGGGTTCTAATTATTTCAAGCAATTCCACTGAGTTTTTCTGCTTTACTGTTTAAAAGTTTTACCAGTTCAAGATTAGGAAGTTCCCTGCCTGTCAATAGTTTGCACAACTCTCCTCCATTTCCGAGGGAGATTTAACATATTTTTCTAGGGAGTAATCCCCCAGAAAATATACACTACATAGAACACAGGTACTTGCTCATTCTGTTCTACAGTGACAAGCAGCAAATAACACCTGTGCATCTTCAGTGATAGAGGTTGGATGAAAAACTTCAACAAAAAATATCCCCATAAAACGTAACAAATCTTTCCTCTTACACAATTTGATATTTGTTTAATATCAAAGCTGCCTTTCATCTAACTGAGCATACATGCTCATTTAAAAAGTAGGTGAAGTTGACTTGCTATATTTCTGTTGGGCGAGGCAATGGAAACTCTGTTCACAGAGACCACATTCTTCACCCTCACCACCACTTTCTGGAAGAGAACACACTGGGAACATGGACAGCAGGTTTGTATGCAACAGCCTCAGACAGGCTAAAATCAGAGGTGAGGAAATACAGCAGGCTGCAATGGCTGCCTTGATGACCATACCTCTACCAATTTGACAGTCTTACTTGAAATCTAGATAGACAAAAGAATTCCAAACCAAACATAACAGCTGGACCCTTCACTTCTGTTTAAAATAACTTTTCTTTGTTTTCAGATACTTATGCAGAACAAGCTGTAGAACAACAGCTATCTTCATTTTAGCATTTCCTTCCGAAGACACGAATTGTTCTTAGATAAATGCTCTTAGAGCTGAGACAGTATTTTTTGTCCATCCTTCAGTTCTCTCTAACAGTAACTGAAAGGCAATAATAAAAAAAAAAAAAAAACCACCAAAAACAAAAACAAGACAACCAACCAACCAAAACCTTCCAAGCTGCAGATGTTGTTTCAGGCCTAGAATCTGAACCTACAGTACTGTGTTTAGTGGTCAAAGGGATGATGTGCAGTACATCCTTAAATTCACAGAATCCACACCACTTTGTTGTGTAGCCATTTTGTCTTACTTTTGGGATTCAGTTTCCCTGTTCTGTCAATCTATACATAAATAATCAGCTTTATATTGTTTTGTCAATCAAGTGAAAACTAATATTGAGGAGGAAAAATATCATTTGTCTATTGGGCGGTTGTTTTCTTTGAAATCTCTGTCTCTGTCAATGTGTTGTGCTGATAGTGGATACTGTCTCCAAAAGGTTATGATCTCTTAGGGCACATATGCATTGCTTTCTAAATAACATCCAGAGCTTGCACCCACCATCCCCATCTGTGCATCTGCATTGCTTGGGCATAAGCCTATGTTCAGACACAAGCTTTAGGCAGGCGTTGGGGCACACTTTGAAAAACAACTGTGATTCTGTGTTGGGTTTAAATGTCTGTGCGTTCATGTCCCTGATATGCAGACAGGTTGAACGTTGCCTAATTCAGCTATTTAGCCTGCAGCATTAACATATCTTTCAGACATCTCACAGATATGGCTGGTGCCACGCAGACAAGATTACTTCTAAAAGAGTCCTAATATTGCAGTGCAAATTTATCTCCAGAGGCTTCCAAAGAGAACCAGCCACTCAAGCTCACATCGTTAACATAGGTACAAACATTGCCTTACACTCCAGCTCAAGTAAACTTTTTTTCCCAGAGCCTAGCAGGTAAGCAGCAGCAGCAGAAGACTCTCTATTGCAATATTGTAAGAAGAAGAGTCTCTATCACAGCATTTTATGGCAATCTAATTAACACGAATATTAGATCCCTACAGAACAGGGACATTTTTGTACCCAGATGTGTTTCATTACCTATAAAATCTATGTAAGTATGTCAGCCTCAAGTGGTTGCTTCATACCCTGAATGTGAAGCTCTTTCCTCTCCAGAAAATGGAACTGTAAGCAAAAGAACTTCTAGGTTTCAATGAGTGACTTGCCTACAAAGGGAGAGAAAATGTATACATAGCTTTCAAAGGGTTACAGAATGTAATGCAACAGAAGGAACTGTGCTGCCAAAGAACTTCTGGGGCTGAGCTGGAAGGAAGGAGGTGAGCTGAGGCAAGGACAGAATATGGAACGGCATGATGAAGCAAGAGAGGAAGACTTGCTTCCCGTCTTGCTGAAAGGCGGACGGGGAGCAGCAAAACCCCAGAAGTCTTAGACTGTAGCTGCATGTATTTTTATGCTAAAGAGATTCTACCCATTCCTTTCCATTCACACCTCACCCCTCATGCCATCACCATCTCTTCATGTTCCCAGTGGATCACATGTGCTCTGGGAAAGATATAAATTTACGGGTTGAGGGGGGAGTGAAGAATATGCAAAGGAATGTGGGTGTTCAGATATCTGGCCCCCAAGCATATACTATGGTGCGTACCTGCAATTTGAAGCCTGTTTTGCAGGCTACTCTCGGATCACAGTGAGGAAAGGGTCTGCCAAAAAAAGTAGAAATTTCTGTGACAGACAAAAATCAAGTATTGTACTCCAGAAGCCAAGAAATACTAAATGGAATATAATGTCTCTAAATTCTGCTTTGGAAGAAAGTTCCAAAACCACAGACCAGAGCTCCATCCCTTGTATAGTGGTCAGCTATACTAATATACTGTAGACCTTATCCAGTTGCAGAGTACTAGCCAGGTAGTTCACAGTTTCTGCGTATATGTTTTTCTTTTTGTGCAGTTTGTCTGAACTCCAGTCTTTGTTCCACATTACAAATCAGACCAAGTCTCATGGAACTCAGCTGTGATGCTCAGGTGCAGACCTGTTTTGTGTGAACAGACCTCCCGAAGCCCGCTACCAAATTCCACTTCTCAGAAGTTAGGGAGAGGTGTTCAGCATGCAGGGTACATGTGCTACCTGCTCTGCCCAAGCCTTAGCTTCTCTCTCTCCTGCAACAGCACTGCCAAATATAAAGTCTAAGTCTGTGCTTCTCTTTCAAGCAGTCTTGCAACTTCCCCATTCAAGCACGTGCCAAGTGTATGCCTGTGTTAGGGAAAAGAAATGTTTTGACTTCTGCAACTGTGAAAGTGTGAGACAGGCAAAAAGTCAATGTGAAATTTCACCAAAAGAAGTTGTACCACAACTGCAACAAAGGAGGAACCGACAAAAGCTCCTACAACATGTCCTGTGGTCAGAAATGCCCTGCATGGCATACACAGGAAATAAAAAGAGCTCTGTAGATGTAGCAACTAGGCAGCTCTATTCTTACTGACTTCTGTTTCCAAGGTCTGTGAAGACTCCTGGGGGATATTATTAAGGCCATGAGCACTGGTGTAGCTGTCATTTTCCACTGACTTCTGTGAGAGAAAAGCCTCTAGAAATTTTCTACTTGAGTTATCTTCACACTACTTTTACAAAGTGAATGTGCATGAACGTGATTGATTTTAGCAAAAGATAGATAAAACCAGAACAACGAAGAGCCTTGAAAGAAATGTGTAAAGGAAAAAACTAAGCATTATAGACTGTACCCAGTTCTGTGCCCACACTATAAGTCTGTGCTTCCTAGGGGAAACAAACAAACAAACAAACAAGCAAACAAAAAGATTAATAAGCACAATATTCTGGTGCAAGTTCACAAGGCCAAGCGCACTCACTACTTTCTTAATTTTATTCATTGTACAAATAGAATATCAGTTGTGATCCCCTTTATATTGTGAGTGGATGTTTACACAAAAATAGTAATCTCTTCTGTTCTCTGCCACTGAGTCTACTATTTTCATTATTCGTATTATTGACATCTGCAAGAACAGTATCCTCACTCTTATTTGGTAGCATTTAAAAACAATGTTTGCATGAGTTTCTGTAATTATTTCAAGAACAATGTATATGAGATTTGGGGTTCTTATCCATTAAAAAGAAGGCTAACCTAAATTTCAGGCAATAAGATAGAAAACTCATGGTAGGTAAAAAGGTGTGTGCCCAGGTGGGTGAGTTTGTAAAAGTGATGAAGCCAGAAGGACACAATAAAGGGAGAGAATCTTATTTCTCTGAAGTTGAAAATGCAAATATTTCTCTCAGCAACTGAATCAGGTAGAATTTTGAGGAGCAAATCCAGACCCAGACCACCCTAACATCAAATAATTGTTTCACAATTAATCCGTGGGATATAAAGGGGTACATTTTCAACACAG